TGATCGACAATCGTAGTAGTTTAGACCTGGATCTGAACAGCATGTCATCTGTTGTGAGGTAATTTCTTTCCCATCTTCCACGTTTCCCCAAAGCAGGCGCCAAATTGTATGTCACAGCTTGGGCCGAAAATCCAACATTGTAGTACTCAAGCAATCGTAATGGAACAACATGAGTATACGAATGACGACCAATGCGATTAAAGCAGCCCTGGCTTGTCCAAAGTCAGACAGTGAAGAGAAAATCCACACACGCGAGTGTGCACCTAGTGTGAGAGTACAGTGCGAGTAGGTCAGAGCGAAAGAATTCAAGCAAGTGACAATATGTTTCAAACAACCGAGGTGCCAGATGCAAGGTCGTGAAGCAACACAGCAACAAACTGGCCAATCAAAACCTGAGGACGCCTGTCGCTTAATAGCAGACGTAAATACTGTTGTTCTATAAAAAGCCGCTGTTTTTTCCAATAAATTGAGATTGCTTAGTGCCGCTCAGATTCTTGTCCCGATTTTTCTGGACTGGGTAGCACAGCACGCGACACTGTCAACTTCACCGTTAGGAGTACCGATGAAGTTACTAGATTTCCGCACATAGTCTAATACTCGGCCCCATGTTTCGGTTGTAGAAATAGTCACACTACGCAAATTGATGACAGCCACTTCCATTACTTGTATTCAAGTTTGGAAGCCTCAATGATAAAGGCTGTTTACCCTAAGGAAGGTGCCCAACGTCTTGGTTTATCTAAACAACATTGTGTGGAACTAATACGACTGATTAGTCATGAGGATTTTAATTACCGTAAGCCGAATACAACTCATATGATCGTACCTTTCACAATAAGATCCATATTTTCTGATGATCTTTGTTGCAACTCATCACTATGGTATATTTTGTCACTGTAGCTATAGAGCAACAGGTAAGTAAGTTTGACATGACAGACGGTACTACTGTAACACCAAGATAAACGCTACCACCGGGGCAATCCAGTGATTAACAATGGTTGTTACAAAGTTCCTACTTGACTCTCGGGTGGTTAGTTGTGTTGAGTCACCTGTCTCAGTAACCATTTAACTATGTGCTTTGTCACTCGTTCTAAATTTTCGTCCACCCTACCAGCGGTCACATCGTGACAACTCCAGGTGAACGTCAATCTGACTGTCACGTGACCTTCTAGCTGATAGAAATCCGAAGCTCTGGAACTTCACGGAACTCATGATAATCACGTGGCACCAATTAATTCACTGCACGCAGAAGATTCGCATGCAGGTGGCATTACTGTCGTGAAAATGCTTTTATTCTGACTAGTATACGCCCGGTATAATTGTTCTTTTCGTCGTACCGTCTTGGTACATAACACCGGTTGTATCTACGCCACTTAAGAGAACAAGTGGAATCTTAACGTCCCCTAGAGTTAATCATTTTACTAGGTTTAGATATATTTGCTGAGTTACTCGTAAACGTCTTAAAGCTAATTGGGGCAAACCATGTTTAGTCCTCGGATGTGCACTCTGTCGGCTTTCCAAACCCAGTCAGTGTTGGTTTACGCAGAGCATATATCAGCCAAGTGACTTACATGCTGGGTCTGCGAGTTCTATATTAATTGAACAATAGTCCAGAGATAGTTGATGAATACAGTGAAAGTGTCAGGTTATTCATATGACACGGAGTCTTTAATTGATTGGGGTAGAAAATCTTTTAAACTTATCCAGCATACACAAGCTGCATCAGTCAGTCTAGATTTGTAAATCGCTGTGTCATAGCAACGAGGTTGAGGGCATTCCGACAGTCTGCTGGTGAGAATGGTGTACTCATTTGCGTTCGGTCTACGTTGATTATCGTGCCACAGCAAATTAACTCCGATTGTAACCGGTTACATGCTCGGTCGGCGGCATCCGAAACGGAGTAGCCTGTCACGGTGACCGAAGCCAAAGGACGCCTGCACTTTAAACAAGCACCCCAAGGGGTTTGCGCTACACCACTTGCGGTTCTAGTCACACACCCCGTATCCGGTGTAAACCCGAAGGAATAAGACCAACAGGCATGTGAGTGACGCTCTTGTGTCCAGCCAATTGGAAAGAAAACCTTCATCTCCCGGAAAATATACAGAGACTGTAATTATAAGATCCAAAGCGAGAAGAAAATATGTATCGTGTAATGCAAAAAGCATTTCAGTAGACGAATGCATGCTAGTGTATTCTAGAGAGGATAAACTTTTAAGACAAAATTCAAAGTGGCGATACGAAAAGATCAAGCGAACGATTCACCATTCATTACAACAACACATACAAGAGCTTGCCAACACACAGGACAAACCTTTACCACTAATTACCTAGCTGAACAAGCAGACTACTGCAGTTTTCTGACAGTAAGTACATTTATACATCTCACACCATATATATGCAGCTTCTTCTTGACAGATTGCCTCTAGATGATTGATTAGGCCGTGGCCATGATCTCAAGCAAATCGAGGAGTGACAGGGACAGTATGATGTTGAGTTCCTCAAAAATTCACATGATATCAGAACAAAAATACGGCGTACGTGAATTTCGATAAGATCACGTCAATCTGTTACTGTCATAAAATTCTACAATGCTTCACAATGATCATATTATATGCTTTACTGTTGGGTATTCGGCAATTTGGTTAATTTCAACTTGAACATCACTCACAATTGATTGCAGCCTCCGCATTCACGCAAGGATATCTACTATTGACGAGCTCTAATGAGAGCGAAATTCGAGTCTAGAGCTTCTTTTCAAAAGGGGCTGACCAGAAAGTCTATCTGAATGCGAAGGCTATGATCAAATGTGAGTGGTCATCAACTTGACATTTTATACTACTACTTTATCTTTTTCGTCTATGTGAATTCAGCTTGGACCTTGACTAATCTGGTATCGGTCGGGTGAGTCAGAAGAAGGTTTGGGCATAGTCTCATCCAATAAGATGCATTCTATCCTTGTAGACATTAAAACGCTTAAGAAAATGAAAAAAAGGGGAAAAAGAGGAAAAAAACAAAAGAAGCGTAGATAATCAAATACCTGACCAAAATGACACAAAAATAATTTGAAACAGCCAGCCAATCTAGACTTTTCAAGCCTACAGGTATTAGTACTTCTTGTTCAAAATTAAACAACTTGAGTGACCCCCCAGCCCTTTTTGAAATATGTAAATATTTATCTCGTCATGCCTCAGCGTAATGATAAACCGAGGCACCGGACCATCTCAGATATCCATAAGAGTTCATGATCTTCGAAATACATCACAATTTGTGATCATCCGAGACGATAGGGCTTATACTGAAAACAAATGTTCCCTTGATGTGATATCTTTATTTGCAAATGTATTGCTGATTGAACCTGGTGGTTATTTGCATGACTCTAATGTTTGTGGTGGACTGTCAGACAGAAAGTGCGAGCATTCCAACTCTCGGGGGAATACCTCAACACAGGGAGAGGTGCGTTCAAAAATCCCCAGTGAGCGGATGGAGGACGGCGTGGGCGACTGGATGATTAATCGCTCGGCCGGATAGGACCAACGGACAAGACGTGGCAACCAAAATAGGATGGATGACCAAATTGAAGGCCTGATTATTCCAACACTCTCAGGAATATCTCAACATGACTGTGAAGTACGGTCAAAGCCCACAGTGGATAGACGGAGGACAACATGAGCGACCGGACAAGCAATTGCTGAACGAAATCGGATCAACGGACTAGGAATAGCAGGCGGAAAACCCCCGGATAGAAGGCGAAAATCACACACATAAACCGGGTCGAAGTGCACGTGACGCGTGAGCGGAAACCTGGGGGGTGTTGTGAACTGGAATGCTGACTCATAAACGCGAGCGCGCCCTTAGCATGTGAACTAGCGTGTTGGACAATAAAGATTTTGCTTTATTGGACGCCTTTTCGCTACATGATGACGCTTAACTTTCCACTGGCTCACTAGTTGTAAGCTTAAAAGAAACGTTTACGAGGTGGCCTTCAATGTGTATTTCATTTATATTAGTGATATTTACATTGTCTTTTTAAAGAAGCAAACCTATCAACATTACTCAAATAACAGGTAAGCTAATTGTTTACGGACCATAAGTAACTGCTACCAAAGATCCGTGTCTACCAGACAGAAAGTTGTTAACTAGAAGTCATTACACTCATCTTTCTACCATCATTGGATCGATATCAACTAGCCGACTGAGATTGACTTACTCAAGTTGTTTTCACTCTCTGTCAATTCAACGTATCTATCAGGTTGATCTCAGTGGAGAAGAACACAACAATCAATTTCATTATTTTCGTTCCTTGGTGAGTAGATTTATCAGTTAGTCAGAAAGTGAGGATAGTTCTACATTGTGCTTAATAGATGGTCCGTCGCGGATGAATAATATCCATTTTCATGGTAGTAAAATGTAATAAAAACAGTTAAGGGAGTACCACTACAGTGAAACAAAAAACCTCAACGTCAACAATTTATCGAAAAAATAACTATGAATTGATCTGATATAAAGTAGTTCCAACCTGACTGAGTCCTTCCGGTTACTCACCTCTGATAGCAAAACAGAAAAAAACAGAACGTTGCAGTCAAGTCATCCTGTTCAGTGGAAGCATATCAATTAAACCAACAGACTCATCATCTGGTCATGGCGACGCGCGGCTATGATACACGACAAAGCAATCAACACAAATGTTTTTCTAACTTGCTTTAGTGAGAGTGGGCAGCAGCTGGTGTGAAGTATATAATCATTTTGTGCTGAAGACGCTGTTGAGATCATGACGCCGTATCTAACATGGTATGTAGTGATTACTACATGATTTGGTCGCAAATGAGAGTGGAAGCTAACTCGCTGCCGTATCGAATAAGAAGGAGGTTCAGTCAACAGGTTTAGCTAAATTCACTCACAACCTGAAACCAGCGTGACTGAAAAATCTCGAAGTCGAAGTTCTATTACTAGTAAGTAGTTTGGCAGATTTGTGATTTTAGATGAGACCCAACTGTGAAAAGTCAGGGCTTCCGCTGGATTCAAACCAGCGACTGAAACAGCATGCCTCAACGTGGCAAGCGCTCTACCAGGTAAGCTAGGAAGCCACACCGGGAGCTCGGAAGTTTCGCATTTGGACTATGATACCAACCCATCCCACTGTCTCATATGGAATTCATCCAATGATCCAGGGGATCGACTACCTCAGTAGGATTTCTTAACCAGTTCACGTTGGAATCCACCTACGCCACTGTTGAGCATAGGAATTGTATTACTGATAAGTTCTATCCTAAAAATGTCAGTGGTGTGATGTTTTCATTAATCCATCTTGCATACTATTGAATATGTACAAACTAAGGAGGAAGTGACGGTCGTTCAGAAAACCTCTGACATGTCGTGACATGTCATGTGTTGGGCTCCAATACTAGTCCCGAGTGACCCTAGGTGTCTTTTGGTGTGAAATAAATACACAAGGTTGCGATGTATGAAACGTAAGCTAGACCAGTGTCTGTTTGCACATTCGGTCCGAAAGACGACTCGGTCAAGGGTTATCGACTGGCAGTGCATCATCTGTGGTCCATGCATACATGTGGTCCATACATATACAGACGAACGTGTACATCAACTCAGGAAGGTTAACACACCCAGTACATCTGGGCTCGAAACACAATGCAAAGTGGTTTAGACTGACATCGTACGCTTAGGCAGATAAAAGTATCAAGTGAACTTCTTTAGTTTAAAACAGTAAGGAATAACTCACAACGCGCGGCCGATTATGTACAAATCATCTCCTATAAAACAAGGTGAGCTCAAAACGAACCGCTTCCTATTTGGGAGTGATATTCCAGCACAGTCATTTGATTATCCGCTTTGTTGAAAAATCGGATGCACAGTGCTGGCGGTAAGGTTGAACAACTGATTCGTCACATTCTTTCTACTGACTTTGAGCGTGAAATATAGACTCTCTGCCATCGACCAATATGCATTAGTGCACTAATGTTCTTGCAGTTTTACAGAAGAATATTGTGGCGAAAGTCTACTCAATTAACCGTTCATCCAAACTCCAACACAATAGAAGATCTTACAACAGACCAATCCAAACGTCCGATTAAAGATACCAAATCAAGATTGGACGAACAGGCTCATTGTTACACTTCCGTTCAGTTAGCATTTTCTTTGTTCCGTATTGCACCAATCAGCTTACAGTTTGACTTTGCAAGTGCCAATACGATAATCCAATGGCAGAATGTGATTTCTTTGATTCTGTTGCACATCTATACATTTGACTTCTTGTCTCATGAATATGAACTGCTTACTGCAACCAATCTTCTTATCACTTGCGCGGGAAGGTTCAATGGGAGTACGATTTCTGGGCTAATCGAAGTCTCTAATTCCGAGTATTACAAATATGTAGGTCATATGACGGCGTTTTTCCAAACATATCAAGAAAGTCATCCAACGTGATCATCATCAAAGTGTATCTATAACCATCTAGGATCTAAATATGATCAGCACCGCCATATGTAGAATGGTTCCTATCAGCAACATGTCAATGGCTTATTCGTGATCACAGGCTTCGTTATGAAATTTTTGAATAACTCCAACAGTACAGGTTAGTTGGTTTACTTCACTTCAAACGTAGAGTATGTTTGCATATTTTGAAGAGATGCCCTTACCAGTCGTTTGGAGGATCGTTCTTCTTGTCTCAGGTGCAAGAAACAGATCAGAAAATGCACTCAAGTATTACAGTGTGACGGACGGTTTTATCGCGCTTGAGTTGCAGTCAGTTAAGAATTATATTGACACGAATGAACGGACACACCATACTACTCGTGAGTATTCGTGCGCAGGCACGAATTTAGACAAACCTGAGAAAGTGGAGTGTTTCTGTGAAAAAATTGTGTTTTATTTACTTAAAGTTATCATTGACAACTTTGGCGTCTCGGGATCGACGTTATGCGCAAATGACTGTCTTTGTTCAATGTGTTGTTGAAACACATACCACCTGAGAATGTTTTGTGGCTCTATGTCGACAAAAACGTAGTGAAACCTTCTCGAGCGAAAATCATGCAATGCCAAACTTATGTCTATTCTATTCGACTGTGTCACTTGTGTCGATGTTTTTAATAAACAATCATTGTACCATTTGAGTTCTTAGTCCACAAAGCTGTACAAATTTATAAGGAGATGTCATTCAGATCGGACAAAGTTCTGCTGTCACAATTGCTGCCCGATGGGTACCGGGTTGGGTCGCCCACATCATCATCATCACCATCATCACAGCCATGAGCCTGACCAAAAGGTACTGTGGCTCGGGCCGCCGCTCACCCCAACTGTGACGTGGAATATCCTAGAAGAAAAAGTTACTAAAAAAGTCAAAAGTTAAGAGGATGAACTAGAAATGGTATGGATACAGGTACGCCATTGACTGCGACACATC